AAGTGATCAAGAAAAAACTTAATTTTTATTCTTATATGTCATTTTAGCATGATGCTTAAGGTAAACATTATAATTCATCTTTATTCAAGAATATTGGTCAACCAAGAGACATTATTAGTTGGATTTTTAAGTGGTCTGTCCTTGTGGGCAGTAGTTTTAACCTCACTGGTCGTTCCTTGCTCTCCCTTAGCTTCTGTTGAATTAAACTCTCCACCTGTCACACATAACTCCTGTTGATATCCTAACATATTGTATTCAATCATTTATGATTTCAGATCCTGTCAAATACAAATGAGCTGAACCTTTCTTTGGAGAATGTGCTTTAACAATATATCTAAGGGTCTTTCATGCATCATTTCATTTTTTAATTTCTAAATGCTATAGTTTATACTATGCTTCTTTAAAGTAGAATGAATAAATCTAGCGATTTGCTACTCATAGTTAGGCAGCATGTCACTTTGAATAGCATCTTTAAGATGAGGCAATTTCCTACTTATTTCTATTTTAATCAAATGCCATCTTCTCAAAGTAAGTTTGCTGCAGCTTCTGTTTCAACTAACCATCCATTTAGAAAGTGTACAAGTTGAAATATTAAGAAAGTATTCTACAGATTCACTTGGTAATAGAAGACGAAGTAACACTCGATGGGGCTTGGGAAAATTCTTTAACCCACACATTTTTAAAAGTGCAATTCCTATTAAAATATAATATATACTAAGAAAATAAATCATAATATCAGTGAATCAAATACCACATTCGATTCAAAATTCGCTTTCTGACAGTCTTTCTCAGCATAAATGAATACTATCCTAACTTGTTTGAAAACATTTGAATGAACATTTCTCCCCTTTTCCTTTCCCTCCCTGCCTCTCTGCTTCTCTCTGCTCTCCATCTCTCTTGCTCTTACTTTATGAGAGCAGGTACATCTTTGGATGAAGTACATTGTAGATACAGCAGGCATAATCCAACATCATATGGAATAATTCAGTGCAAGAATTTATTTTATGGATTGTGAAACAGTTTAAAAAGGAGAAATGACTGGTTAAAGATCAAGGCTTATCTCTTCAGCCTAGAAATAATAGGTGATGAAGAGAATAATTCAGTTTTTGTGAAATGGATAGAATAGGATATGAAATGTTGAAGTGTAAGGGTGTGTGTTTAAGCGTATACATATGTGTTTAAGGGGATACGTGATAAAGTTTAGCTGTGGATGGGTACTTTGGTGGATGGAGAAATGCCATAGAGATCAAACAACACAAAATATCTTGTCAAGAAATGTGTTTGGGAGGATCAGAGTCACCTCTGAGTGGCGACAAGAGAGAAAGAGACATAGAGAGTGAGAAAGAAAGACAAGCAGGGCGAGAGAGTGGGCCATGTTGGAGACTTTTTAAAGTATCTCCTTTGGTGTTTGGTGATGGTGTGGCTGCTGGTGCTATGGTGAGCTGGACAGACCCTTGTTTTCTAACATCCTTCCATTGTTTTTAAGGTGAGGAAATAGGAGGAGATGATTGATGAGGCACAGATGGGGCCCAGTGCTCTTTACACTGCTTGCTACTGTTTGGCTGCATCTACATCTTTGGGGACCCAAGAAAGCTGAAATGTTGGCCATGTTCTAGAGAACAGGATGTTTTTCTTACTGCCCAGCTCTGCAGAACCATCTGGGGTTAGGGACATATAGAAAGCAGTTGGAGCAGTTTGTGAGACTGGACCATCTGGGACTAGCCGCTTTGATGATGTAGAAACAAGAGAACACCTTGAGCTGGTGCTGGAAGTTTCTGCAGCTGACTTGAAATCTTTTGGGACAGACAAACTAGAGAAAGAAAGTAAAGATAAGAAGTTTACAGAAAAAGCTTTATTTAAGTGTACATTTGAAACATTTAGGCTTATGATCCTGGTAGTTGGGGGAGGAGAGTCCAAAGACGAGAGAGAGAGAGAGAGAGAGAGAGAGAGAGAGAGAGAGAGACCACCCTCAGGCAAAGGCAGAACAGGCAGGTGGGAAACAAGTTGTACACTGATGATGGTTTAATTTGACTCGTGAGAGGTGGGTTCAACCTTATACCCTGAAGCTCACAAGCATTTTTTAAGTTTACAAGAAGAGATAAGTTTTAGATATGTCAGCATTACCATTGTTTGTAATCTGCACAGAAATCCACATCGTAGGCTCACACCTCTGAATCAGAGTAGAAGCTTGGGTGCTCCAAATGACTTGGGGTTTAAAGCATGAAGACTCCTTCCTCTTTGGAGAAGACTGAGGTTGTATAGATTAAAAGGGCATTTTTAGCACAATGAGAAGGACTTTTAAGTCTATACTTAGAAGACAATGATAGGAAATTTAAAATCGTGAGCTTGTAGCTATTATAATAGTAGTCAGTGCTTACCTGAGCTAGATTAATAGTTTATTAGAACTCCACTGGTTTATATCAAAACTCTGAACTTTTGAGGTTTTAATATAACAGTAGCATAGAGAGGGTAAGAAACCTGAAACAGTTTTCATATACCTTAAGCCACCTTCTTAAACCCTCACAAATTGCATCCATACATCTCAAAATACCTTCTGAGACTCACAACCCAAGCCTTCACATCCTCAGACTTACAACTTGCATTTACATAGCCAAAACATTTTGTGAGATCCTCACAACTCAAGGTTTCTTATTCACATACCTTATACAAACTATACCTTTTTTCCTAATCATCCACCATGAGACACAGGTGCTTGATTACTGAGAACAGTCATTATAAAGCCAGTTACTTTAAATAAAATAGTCAAAGTTTTACTGAATCTGCCTTGTAAGCATGTCTTCTTTTAGAGTCTGGTAGCAAGGTAAACTATGTCTAGACCTAGAAGTAGAAAGTGAGGCCTGAGTTTTACATGTGAACAGAACTGGGAAGGCAACAGAAACTTGATTTCGGCTGCTAAACTGATAAAACTATCACTAGCCTTGTCATCAATCATCAAATATTTGAGAAGGACAAATTTCATATGAGTAATAAGGAAATAGAGCCCAATCACCTTCCAAATCTTCTAAAAATGACAGAGACATACTGGCTACCTGGGCAGTCACGCTAGGTTCTCAGGTATTCATTGGAAGTAGAGGTCCCAGAGCAGAATCAGTCTTGAGCTGCCAAGGTCCACAAGATCCAACAGACTTTCCTGTGGAAAAGGAATTTGGGGGCATTGGCCCCTTTACCTAGGCAATGTAGAGCAATCAACTCCCTTCTTGTCTACAGTTTGGATAGAGCCCTCTTGGTGGGTGAGGGGAAGAGCAGTTTTTCAACCTGTGGCTGCCTTTGCCACATTTAAAGCAAGCTCCAATTGGAGGCTTGTCTATGCCTATCAGCTTTAATGGAGGAGATGTAAGGGCAGCTTCAAGGAGCTGGCATTTCTATCATGGGACACATGTTTAGTAAGCATTAATTATCATATTCAACATATCTTTGAAAAGTTTTGAGGACCATCTATGACTAAACAAACATTGCTTGTTTCTAGTTATTTGTTTTAGACTTAATTTTGGAAACGTATAAGACACTAAATAAAGCTGCTTCTATAATTGATTACATTAGTGCTTAGCATATATACATCATAGTTCTGAACACATTAGAGAATCTGATCATTTATGACGTGACTGACCATTAATTTACATTTCTTAATTCTCCTTAATGGTTTACAATAAGTTAGTTTTTCTAAGACTAAGACTTTGCATTACATCCCTGTTAGCCTTATAAATAGCAATGTTAAATTGAAGCTCTTGTAGTATCAAAAAAAACCTTTCAATCATAGATACAGTTCATAAAAAGACTAACAGCTTAACTGATCCTTTTATATTGCACCATTATAGAATACTGCGGATTTTTGTATGGCTTAGTTTATTCAAATAGCTAAAGCTTAAAGTGAGCAAAGATAAAGAAGCTAGACAAACATAACTTATGAACCTGAGGATTTTAGACCTTAGGATTTTATAAATATTGATTATCAAATATAACTTATTTATTAGACATACGCTGTTACTTATCTAAATAGCAATGTGGTGCTGAATAGATAGCAAAGACATAAGGTGTTAGACATATATCTGAAATTAGATTCTGTTAGTCTTGAGCAGACCTCTATGACCTTAAATTTTTATCATCATTCTCTGCAGTCTTCTCTGGGCCCAACTTTTTAGGCCTTGTGGGGATCCTGCTCCTTCTGGCTCCTCCTATATTCCCCTTCTTCCATAAAACTCCCTGCACTCTGTCCAAAGATTGGCTGTGAGTGGATCTGCTTCAATCTTCCACTGGGTGAAGTCTTTTAGAGGATATCTCTGATAGGCTCCCATCCTGTTTCCTCTCTTCAAGTACCTCTTGTGTTTATTCTGTTTTTCCTTCTGAATGAAAATTAAGCATCTTCCCTAAGATCCTCATTGTTGTTTGGCTTCTTTAAAACTATAGATTTTTGTATGTTTATCCGATATTATATGGCTAATATAATATAATAGACTCACTTAGATGTGTGTATATACCATGTATGTCTTTCTGCTTCTGGATTACCTACTCAGGTTGATCTTTTCTAGTTCCATACATTTACCTGCAAATTTCATGATTTCCTTGTTTTTTTAATATTTTTATTATCATTTATTACAATTCATTCAATTTGTGTCCAGGCTGTGGCCCCCTCCCTTCTCTCCTCCCAATTCCACTCTCCATCTTCTCCCCTTATGCCCTTCCCCTAGTACACTGATAGGGGAGGTTCTCCTTCCCTTCTATTTGACCCTAGCCTACCAGGTCTCATAAGAACTAGTTGCATCGTCTTCCTCTGTGGCTTGCCAAGACTGCCCCCCACAGGGGAAGGTGATCAGAAGACCTGCCACTGGATTCATGCCAGAGAAAATCCCTGCTCCCTTTACTTGGGACCCTACTTGGAGACTGAATCTATGGGCAACATCTGAACCTGGTTTTAGATCCTCTCCATTCATTGCCCTTGGTTGGAGTACCATTCTCTTCAGGGCCCTAGGGCTCGGTTTGTAAAAAATATGGAACACTTCACAAGTTTTCATGTTATCCTTGTGCAGGGGCCATGCTAATCTCTGTATCGTTCCAATTTTAGTGTATATGCTGCTGAAGCAAGCATGATTTCCTTGTTATTAATAGCTGTAACACAATAGTATTCCATTGTGTAGATGTACCACGGTTTCTGTATCCATTCGTCAGTGAGGGACATCTAGGTTGTTTCCACAGTCTGGCTTTTACAAATAAAGCTGCTGTGAACCTAGTTGAGCAAATCTCCTTGCTGTATGGTTGAGCATCTTTCAGATATATGCCCAGGAGTGGTATAGTTGTTTCTTGAGGTAGAGCTCTTCTCAGTTTTCTGAGAAAGTACCAGATTGATTTCCAAAGTGGTTGTACAAGTTTGCACTCCCACCAGCAATGGAGGAGGTACCCCTTTCTCCATATCCTCTCCAGCATATGTGATCATTTGAGTTTTTTATTTTAGTCATTCTGATGGGTGTGAGATGGAATCTCAGAGTCACTTTTATTTTCATTTCCCTGATTACTAAAGACATTGAGAATTTAAGTGTTTTTTTTTTTGTTTTTTTTTTGTCATTCAATATTCCTCTGTTGAAAATATTCTGTTTAGCTCTGTATCCCATTTTTTAATTTGATTATTTGGTTTGTTGGTGTTTAATTTTTAGATAGATAGATAGATAGATAGATAGATAGATAGATAGATAGATAGATATGTATATTCTAGATAATAATCCTCTGTCAGATGTAGGGTTGATGAAGATCTTTTTCCAGTCTGTAGGTGTTGTTTTGTTCTGGTGACAGTGTCCTTTCCTTTACAGAAGCTTCTCAGTTTCATGAGGTCCCATAGAGAGGACCCAGACTCCTTGCTCAGATGTAGCTCATACACAGCTCAGTCTCCACGTGTGTCCTCTAGTAAGGGGAGAAGAGACAGCATTTGACATGGACTTAGTTGCTTGCTCCTTAATCACTCCTCCTTGGTGGAATGACCTAATCAGCCCACAAAGGAAGACGATCCAGGCGGTCATTATGGAACCTGATAGACGAGGGTCAGACAGTAGGGGAGGAAGACTTCCCCAATCATTGGACTAGGGAAGAGAGATAGGGGAGGAAGAGGGAGAGAGGGTAGACTGGGAGGAGATGAGGGAGGAGGCTACAACCAGGATACAAAGTGAATTAATTGTAAATAATAATAATAATAATAAAACTACAAGAAAAAACAAACAAACAAAAAACCTTATCATCATACACAAGTCCTTACCAGTTCAAAATATTTGAGACTTGTTGCTTCCTTGGTCTAAAAGGTGATACAATGATAGAGAGCTTATTAGAACCAAGTTTTACAATTGTTTCTTTATGCCTTGTGGTCATGTTAAGATGAAGTCACATGGCATGTTCTCTTTAACCTTAATTAAGATGGCTGTCAGCCATCTTCCTGTTTACATCCTGATGAGGTCATCAGACAATATGGAGGAGAGCAACATGAGCGATATTTAGAAATATATTTTCTTAGTATATTTAGTTTTTGAAAGAGAGTTGAATCCAAGATACACACACACACGCATGTACTCCCTAAAAAAATTTAACTTACACATATTGTGTCTATGTATCTATATATACCCATATGTCTATTTTTAATTATAAGCCTTTTGTTGTGAATTTAAAGCTTTTTTTTTTACAGAGTTTATAGACATTTTTAAAACAAACTCAATGAGTACCTTAAAAATCCTGACATAAAAGTTTACATCATAATCGTAAGAAAAAAATGTAGAATGGAACATGTTTACATATAAGATATCTGGGGATGATTTGTCTGTGCTATAGCAGTTGATATGATTTGTGAGAATTTGGAAATCAAGTTTGCCAGTTTAGGGGCGTGTTCTGCACTAAGCCAGGCTGTTGTAATAAAAATCGGAGTCTATGGAGGAAAAGAGAGAGAGTTGCAAAACAACACACGGGTGTGTTTCCATATGTTCCAAGAGGAGCTAACAGCCAAAGCTGTGAAACTGCAGGTTGGAGCCAGAAATAGCCAGGAGAGGACAGAGGAAAATGGAGACAGTAAGTGTCTTTAGCAGAAAAACCCATGTATGTGTAGAAGGCCAAGAGAGAAAGTTTTCTACATGGTAGGAACCCCAAGAGTACTAGAAGCTGGATTCCAGAGCCAGAGAGACACTTACAGCAAAGGACAAGGAGAGGAACAGTTAAGGAAAAGGGAGAGACAACCAAGAACTATATCAGCAGCTTTGTTCAAATGGCACAGTGGCAGTGGAGAACAGTTGTGTGGAGATTATGTGCACACTGTAGCTGCTGGGCTCTCCCCCAAGCTACTCCCCAGAACCAGCTCTGTTCCCCACTTAACAGCAAACTTACAGATCATCACCCAAAACCTAAAGGCAGGACATTTATACAGTGTGTGGGGGAGGAGACAAGACAAAACAAACAGGGCTTGGGGTGGGGAAAAATAGGGAATGGGGAATTTCTCTCCATTTCCCCAGTAGTCGTAGAATCCCTAATAATGTCAGGAAGTAGCATGCTTCTCAGCAGCCATTTTTGATTACTTATCTAAGGAATATTGAGGCCAGATTTGATGGCAAACATGAACAAGTTTAGAGACCCTTAAGCCTGCCTGGTGCTAGGTGGAGGGGTTGGAGGTTCTTCAAGAGACATCTCAATGGAGACCCAGGAGGTACAGATGGTGCAGTTCCGGTGGTTGAGAAAGAGAGGGAGTCCTAAGGCCTTAAAATCCAAGGATTTCCCCACACATACATCAAGACTCACAAGGACAGAACAAGGAAGGCACAATATGTTCAGTGGGACCTCACCTCATGGAAGGTTGCTGGGATAAAAACTCCAAGGAGATATGCACTTGCTAACAGGACTTTTGAATGAAAGACAAAAAGTGAAAGAAAACAAACAAAACAAAACAAACAATAACCAAAAAAAAAAAAAAATGCTGAAAAATGAAACCTCGGTGGAGAGAATAGGTTAGAAGTGGTCTTTCTGAAGAGGGACAACTATAACCTTAAAAACCATGGCTGGGGTGTCTCCTTCCCCAAGAATCCCAAAGGGATACCAGAAGCTCAACAGCCACTTCCTCAGATCCATCGAAGCGTTTGCCCCAACCAAAGGGAAAACTTAGCAGTTGCTACTGTTGGTTGGATTTAGCGTTCAGTGATCAATGAGCGGGAGAGTGAGTATGTTGCAGGTGGACTAGAGAAAAAGGATAGGGTCCCTGTGTGGCTCAGACACCCAGACAGAGAGCATGGAGTCACCAGGACATCCTACCGAGTTTCAGCACCAATGTTAGGGTTTAGAAGCAAAGGGGTACATTGGCAGATTAGGGCAAAGGAATGATGCGAATATCATACCAAACCACAGACCTTACTCAAGATATATATATATATATATATATATATATATATATATATATATATATAAAGATATATATATATATATAAAGATATATATATATATATATATATATATCAAGATATATATATATATATATATTTTGCAGGGTGGGAGTTAAAGTCCACCCCAGAGCAGGATTGAGAGAGACGGAGACAGAGAGTCAGAAAGTGAGAGACAGAGTGAGAGAGACAGACAGAGCAAGAGGGCAAGTCCTGATATTGAGGAAGCTGTAAAGGGTACATGTGTTAAATTTGGTGGCTGGTGATGATGTGGCTGTTGGTGTTAAGTGGAGTTTCAGGAGCACCTGGTTTCTAACAATAGGTGTGTGTTTGGTTATATGTATGTTTAAGTATATGTGTTTATATGTACATGCTTAGTTTTTTTTTTCCTACGGTGAAATTCTTTAGATATGGTGATCATGTTAGATCATCCTAACTTACTTAAGTAACATTTCTTCAGTTAAGTAAATTCTTCAGTTTCTTCAGTTTCTTCAGTTTCCTTCAGTAAATATTTGCAAATCTCTTATCACAGAAATGGATTTGATCATTGAGTTCTATAGTCTCTGTGATTGTGTTACCTTTCTCCAGACCAGCTGATCAACTAATTCATTACAACAAACAAGCTAGGGTTCTCTAATCAACAGTTTATGTATTAATTTAAGACACCTGCTATATGTCAACATTATGACCAGTACCTTTGCCAAACACACAATTGAAACACATATTTGGGTAGAAATTTATGCATTTCTAGGGGAAACTAGACAGAATATGTGTCTATTCTAAAAAGCCTGGAAGAAAATTTTGATGAACTTTTGTGTGGGCATGGGTTTATGAGTTTATGTCTGCACACATATGTGAGTATATGTTTGCAAATGTGCTTGCACATGCATACATAGGCTATAACTCATCAATTCAGCTATATTGTCTGGCCAGAAAGCTCCATGGACACTCAATCTCCCCATCTCCTTACCTTTGTATTTTCAACTGTATTTGGCTTAGGTAGAAGCAGCAGAAAGAAATGTACATTGCTATTATTACCTTAGGAGTGCATGAGAGTGACAGGAAATAGTAGTCACAGTACTATTACTTTACAAAATTTACTATTACTTTAAAAGTTAAAGTACAATAACTTTACAATAGAACTTGAAAATGAAAGCATATTAAAATCATCATCACAGTTAGCAAACAAATACATATAACCCAGTCTTGATTATAGTTTATATTACGTATTAGTGGAACAAGTTCATAAATTTAAAGTGCTGTCAGTTGTGAACTCAAAGAACACTGAAAATAGATGTAACTTTGGTAAGGACATTGAAAGAAAAGTATGCTTGTGGCACAGAATCTCACCACACAGAAAGTACCAAATACTCTCTGAAGTAGCATGCTATGAGAGAAGCAGAAACAAACAAACAAAACATGGAGAGAACCAGAGAAGTTTCACTGTTCCAAATAGACCTTCATGAGTACTATGTACCGTAGTGTGTATCTGAATCTTAATACATTTGTAAAATACACAAATAGATGTCAGAAGACACATTTCTTTGTTTGAGTTTTTATTTTACTCAAAGGAAGTGTTCGAATGCCAGGATATTAAATACCAAATTAGTGCTTTTCAAGTCTTAGTACATCAAAAACCATAGAAGTTATGTAAAACAGTATTGTTTTATATTAAAATACTCAGAATATACACATG